AGAATACAACTATTCTTGAAAGTTGCGGATATGGGGGGGGGGGGGGGGGGTGCTAGGGGTCCGGTTTTTCTCCCACCGAGTCAAAAATATTTTACGCCCCAAAATCTGCTTGTCCCCACATAAACTGGGCAATTGTGGTAACAAACCGGCCTTACTGGGCGTTCTTCTTATAATTTTGGGCTTATATTCAGAAATTGGGCCCACTTTTCATATTTGGGTCATTCCTCCATTTGATTTTCAGGTCCACCCCTGGTTGGTATCTATTGCTGGCCCTTAGCATCCTAAAATGTTTGGAAGATTTCATTGTCAAGATTTACATTTTTCATTATGTTAGAGCGACATTGCTTGAAAGCCATCTCGAGGGACAAGAGTCATGCCATACTACGAATTAGAATAAACCTGACAAATTTATTTGTTTGGTTCAAGAGTTAAGTATAAAAATACCAAAAAACTATTCAAATAAAAACTTGACCTTGACCCCGTCGATTAAAGTTGCATAATCATATATATAATCATATATTTGGCTTTATGGAAATCTTAACATTTAACATGACTGCTTTCAATGATATTGATCAGAGATTATTTTTATGTTAGACTTATGTTAATGAAAATACACAACAATATTTCAAAAATCATAAAAATGCGCTTTTGAAGTTCATGGATGTTAAGGCAATTTCAATATGAAATTCTCAAGCATATCCTGGCATTGGATATTGATATTGTATTGTATTTCATTTTATCGTATAGTATTTTTTGCATCGTATTGTATTTCCCTTCAACTCTTTTGACTTGCTCTATCGTATCATCAAAACGTTTATTGACTAATTCCAAATTTGAAATCAGAATATTACCTTGAATATTTTTAAAAAATCAATGATATCAAGACAGTGCAAAATTGTGTAAATTCTCCCAAATAACAATACATGAAGATATCCTCGTGTATATGCGAGGCAATTATATGTGCCAATATATTTTAAAGTTGAAACAATGTCTAACACAGGGTTTGATTCTGCATGCCTTAGCATTTATGATTTACGTTTAGGATATTGTGAATGTTTGATTTATGTAGTTCATACGATTTATGGCGGTTTGTAAGTTTGGTTTCCAAAATGTTGTCATTTTGGCTTCACATCCGTGCTGATAGGTTAGTGCAGATGTATATTAACTCCCCTGAAATTATTTCTTGAAAAGATACAGACATACGTGTAGATATAAATAGCTGTTAACAAAGTAGGTCAAATTGCCACAATTTCTTTTCTGATCCCTAGTCAATAGCTCGAGAGGCCCAACATGGTGTAAATCATTTGAAAGATGGTTTGCAAAATGTAATTCTAAAATGAGATAACATTACATTTCAAATAATTGATCCATGTCGAATACATGTACGCTTGTAGCATAGCAATACATCTATGAAAACGATTGTAAGGAACATAAAATAACTGGAGTACCTACAATTTATACAAAACAGAATGATCGGAACATCAAATATTATTTTTTCAATGGGGTTGACGAAGACATTTCCCGTAAAGTCCGGCGCCAACCAAGCAGAAAAAGGCAATTCCTTTAGATAGACCAATCCCACGTTATTTTCTCGGCTGAGATACCTTAAGACAATGGTGCTCTTGTGATAAATGGGTTTTCTTAGCAGCATCCGACTAGGTGTGAGCATTCCGATCACCAATAACTTGTGCAAATTGAACATTGTCTCTAATCAATTGAACATATTAGGTCCCCTAGGAAAGGCGATACCCATTTATTATTGTCTAGAAATCAAGTGAACTTTTGTTACTGCACCTAGATATTCTTAATATAAATCTCTATATTAATAATTGTTGATATCATAGGATAACATTATTGATACTTTTAATAAATGATCATCTTACTGACACATTCCGGATTATACAGATCCCGGACATCTTAATCTTCTTAAGCTTGATACAGTATTGGTCCACATTTGCGCCCCGCTGACACAATAACATGGAAACAGAACATGTAATTTAAAATAATTATACTTCTTAATTGATTTAAGTGATATTTCAGATATTTCAACCAATCATTAATTATAACACGACCCTGTGTACCCGCCCTTGCATATGGCCGGGCTTGGTTTGAATGCTTTTGTATTGCCTCTGGGTGGGTGTTACGTCCGTTGAGAGACGATTTGAAAAATGGCTGTGCTTTATTAAAGGTTGACCTCATTCAAGATGAAATTAATAAAAGCCAGGTAGTTTGGTTGATCCATCACTCGAACAATGCATTGTTCTTGCACATGTCGGTATAGTAGATGCAGTATTGATACCATTGCCTCTGAATGAGACGGATAGATACTAGTATAATATATGAGCATCTGCATTATTTATCATCGCGTTTTATATAATACATTACTCTGTCGTATTGTTCACAATATTATCAAGCAGCTTGATTCTGCAGTTGTATGCAACGGATTTATTGCTTTTAGTTGTCCTTCAGTGGGATGCACATGTGTTCTCGCTCTAAAGTCACTACCACTTATCCCACATTGCTAACCACTATACAAACGATTTAGAGTCAAAATTATTGGTAAACAGAAAATACATTTATTATGGTCATGTGGCCGTCTTATAGTGAATACAAGACTGATAACCAATGGGACATATTCACTTTGAAGACACTCGGCGGACTAGAAATTGACCACATACTTATAGAAAATATCCTAAAGGAGTCGATCTAGAGTCTGTTTGAGATTGGTCGTGATTAATATCTATGGAACGATTATTCACAATTTTGCTCATTCCCTATGATCTTATGGTGAACATATTGTTCAAAGTTATTGTCCTTCGTTCTAATCTTTCTTTCTACGTTTGGATCAGTTACACATTTAGGCGTGATTTTGGTTGGTCTGAATGCATTTAATTAATTTCTAATGGCACGTGTGTGGCCATTGGGTAGGTCAGAAACCCATTGTGTTCCTACCTCGGTTTTCTGTGAGCACCCTGATTGTCAGAGCGAAATAGTACATAAGGTGAAGATGAAGTCCACATTTAAATAAGCAAAATCAAAGTATTGGCAAAGGGTAACATTGCAATGGATAAAAAGCACAAAGTGCAACATAAGAAAAACACAGATCAATTCTGAAACATGAATCAATACTAAAAGGATCCATATATATATAGACTGCTTTAACCCTGTCATATAGGAACTCTACATAAATCATGCTAGAAACACCATATAACCATGCTTAACAAAGTTAACCATCTAAATTAAAAATGGAAAGTTCCAAATTGGATTTGTTGAGCAACAAGTGCTTTCTCAGGGATGCTTGATAGCAAAATCTACTTGGCACTTTAGCTAAATTGAAAGGAGGGATATCCAATTGATGTATAAGTGGTTAAGTTTCATTTAATAGTTTTACATCTCTCTAGGGATCCCTGAAAAAGATTCCGATATAAGACACAATAGGAACTCATGACCCTACGTAAAACGTAGTTGAACCAGTCCTGTAAACACACATAATCTATTATATCATTTATTAGTTCGATATGATTAAAAAACGAAGATTGTGAGGAATGATGCGTATTTTTCATAAGGACAACTCATGTGATTGTACAGATTTTGTACAGATAGTTTCAGAAAAGAAGGACTGTGTTCAGTTATTATTTGTTCCGTTGTATCACTGCATATCTGGACGGTAGATCTGCTCAAGGATGAGGAAAAATAATATATTTCATATTATTGCATTTTGAACTATATGAATACTTACATTGTGTGAATAATGTGTCATGACAACTATTATGAAAACATATAAAGCTGTAAATGTTTTTCAAGCAAGCACTATCTCCATAGAAAAACATACAAAACCAGCAATTCGTTATTCAACCGCGACGGAACACTAAATAGACATATTGAAACATTGATACAATCCAAGTCATCCTGATACGAATAACCATAACACAGTGTAATCACTGAATGAATTGAATTACTGTTTACAAAAAGTATTTGTATCGATATTATATTTTAGTCATTACATATGGTTAGCGGTAAGAATAATGAGTTTATAAGTGTTTTTTAAATCAAATTATACTTTTCATACAATGCTATTGTATACGGATATATATAAATACATATACCGTTATGTAAATATGTAATCTTCTCAAAAGTCCATCTCAATCTTATAATATGTGTACGAAATGTCAAGAGACAAAAGTTGTGTGTACAAAATGTCTGGTAACATAGTAAACTTATGACTTTACTCTTGTAATAAATCAACTGAAAAAGACGTTAATTAATTTTCCACGTGAGTAAAGCAAAGCACGTCCATCTGTGTGTATAGGTAGTTTGCATGCTTATCTACATGTAGGCTTTGAATCAATGTCTATATCTCTATCAAAGCAATCTATAATTAAAAACACATTTAGTGATTTGCACGCGGTTTTCTAGCTTTTCTAAAAAACATTTACCTTATAATCAATTCAATATAGGAAAGCATTAAGAATAAACCGTGAATGGAATTTGATCATTGTAATTATAAGATAATTGAGGTAGAATTAGTATACCAGCAGAAACGTTCCACAGCAGACTAGTACACTGTAGTAGTGCATCGCACAAGTAGTTGCATATTTAGCCAAATATGCACACTCCAAGGGTTATTATTTTGGAATGCAGTTTCTGAAAGTCTATTTTGAGCGAGTATTTGCGCCCTGATGTTTGACGTACTTAACCAGAGGGTACTGCAGAAAGTTTGACAACATACATGAGCGTAGCATTTAATTATTCCTCTTGGAAAGCGTTTGGAATAACATAAGATTTATGGCAAATGTCTCACTATGGTTTGGATTCTTGGTTAGTGATGTTTGTACTGTACGTAAAGTTTCAGAAAATACATAACTCAAAAACTTTTTGTTTGACTTGTGAGAGGAAATAGGCGAGTCTGGTTTCATATGTTCCAGATTTGGTTACCAGTTGAGAAAATTTGCACTGCCGTCTGGCCTATCCATCTAACAATGTACTGACTGACTTAATATTCGCACTCTAATTATTTATTCATATCTTTACTTTTACAAATACATCTCTTCATCTATGAATACTGAAATAAAACATGGAATAGAACTAATATACAGAATGTATAGAATAGATACATATTTAGAAGCCATATCGTTTGTTGATAGAAGTCTATCACAGAGGCATTTTACAAGCCAGCTTTGCCGCTCCATTTACCCTGAAATGAGCTTGGTGTAATAGTTGAGTATCTTTTAAGTATAAGTACCCCAAGAACAAGAAGACGGGGAAACGGGCGCATTGCACAATGAGAGTATGGGTTCTATTCCCCATCGCCCTGTCTTCCTGTTCCTGGGGATGTAAGTCATGGTTCAGTGCATTAAGGCGTTCTACCTGGGTAAGGGTCAAGTTGAGGATCTAGTATACTGTACAATGATCGACCCCTACCCATGTACAGATGTAAGAATAGTGTCAGCTATGGCGCTGATGTGATATCAACGTGTTTAATATATACATCTACCCATCCCTAGTTCCTCTGGCGCCCCAAGGTTGCTTCGTCAAAGCACTGGGCACATTTATCAATGTCCAGCCGCATACAGGTCTTCAAAGATAAAGTAACAACATCAAATATACATAGTCCATCTTCGTCAATATCATCATATCTTTAATCTATCTTACTACACACGAAACACATCTACAGCACCTTACTTATAAATATATCTGAGCGTTTTACAAGCAACTTTGAAGCTTTGTACAGCATCTTAGAAGGGGCTGCGGGAGCTGTTCCGCGGGCTGGACAGAGGGCAACAATAATTTAGTGACCTTTGGTCGTGCTTTAAGCCACCGCACACTTTCTAGCACGGTGAGAGATTCTGCAGACATTTTACCCTCAACATGACGTCATGATATCCAATTTGAGTCCCCCATCTGGGCTTAAGCCATGTATGTCAGTGTGCAAAGGATCTGTCTCAGGTAGTCTAGTTTTAGTGTTAGGTAATTTATGCTCTTTTTTCCATTTCATTCGTCTATTCTGAAACCAGATCTTTATCTGTCTTTCAGTTAAACACAAAGTATGGGCAATTTCTATACGTCTTCTCCGAGTCAGGTACCGATTGAAGTGAAATTCTTTTTCTAGTTCCAGTATTTGGTGCCTCGTATAGGCCGTTCTTGGTCGTTTTGTTTCTCCATTCTTGATGTTGGTTACAGCAGCTGAAACATACCACACATACATCTTTAACACTGACACGATAACACTGATTATACAATTGAAACGTTAAGTAATTTCTTCTTAACGCATGTTATATAGTAAGGAATATACCAATTACTATTTCAATATCATACAAGCAAATCGTATTTACAAATGAGTGTTGAATCTAGCATACACAACAATATCCACAATGAAGACATATGTTACACTTTATGGTGATTATTATTCTAATATAAAACATGCAATTCATAGTAGTGATGATACAGTTAATTAATAGGCTAGCTAGTACTTAATGCGGAGCAGAGAAGTAGGTACTTAAAGACGGACTCATCAAGCAAGCAAGAAGCATTGTTTTAGATTTCAATATGGGAATGTTTATACAAAAGCTTATGATATGAGCGTTTGGCTTATCTAAATGATTTCTCATCATAGCCCATTAACGAATAAAAAACACTACATTCTCAATGCACTTTATAATGTGAATTTACAGCACCTGCATTGATAGTCATCGGTTTTTTCACAAGCAAACAGTACGTTTTGAAAATTGAAAGATTTTAATAGAAAATTACTGACCCTTCAAATATAAGGGCACATTTTACACAGAAACTTGTAGAATGATAGTTCGCTTATACCTTTACGCCATCTATAATGTGTGATACAACTTATTATTTCTTTAGTATTTATATTTCAATATTGATTTAATATGATGCTATAATAATACTAATAATACTTAATATGGCAATATCCAACATTCTATCCCCGGAAAATAGTTATTCATTCCTCTGTTTATACAGCTAGATTTGTGGGGGTTTGAGTGTGAAATGCATTTTGTGGAATTCATATAAAAAAGTTCACAGTGACTGATTTTATGGTTCATTAGGGAACCACTTTTCAAACAGATTATGTTTTCATCATATTGAATACCAATAGCTTCAGATACAATAAAATAATAGTTAAATTGATAATGCATTGTCTGCCATAGAAACAAGTCGATGACACTATTGACAAACATGTTCTGTGTATTGAGAGACCTTATTTGATCTTATTCTCATTTATTTCAGCCTCCTAAAGTGCTAACTAATATCCTAACCATGGTTTTGAGTAATAAACAAGCCATTCTAGTCATTTTCCATGAATTACATTCCTCTCGATTCATTTTATGATAGTAGGGGGAGTTCAGCAATTTATAAGCCATTTAGGCCTGATTTATGATCATAGCAGCTAATAATTTATACCATTAGAAAAAGAGAGTACTTTGACATGTCCAGATAAAGATATGTTCTGTCTTGTCACAGGAAATGGTTTGAAACAAGGTTACTAAGAGCCTTACCTGTCCCCATATGTGCTTTCTTCATCCAGGGGTATATGATGGGACCGCTGTGATGCTGTGGAGACCCCATGCCACCGGGCCCCACCCCAGGTGGATGTCCGGGGTGCTGGTGAAGGAGACCCATTGCCTGCATAGGGTTCCCCATGCCATTCATGTGCTGCATATGGGTGGGGAGCCCTTGGGCCATACCCCCATTACAACTATAATCCGGAACATAGTTTTCTGTGTATCGCCGATCGTCGGGCTGTCCGTAAAAGTTTTGAGGAGCTTGTTGGCGATAGTAGTCCTGAGTCTGATCCGACATGTAGTTTGGCTGGGCATATTCCTCCCCGGGTGGGAACTTTGGATCCACATAACCACTCTGGTTCATAGTAAACGAACTCATGATCATTAATTTTGACTGATTTAGGTTCAAATAATTTTTCTCTCTACTTGTCGTCTACAAGCTATATCATGTATATAGTCCCTCCCTATATTTAGATCGAATACCACGTGATTTATGACTAGCCAATAAACGGGAAGAGCAATTGGAAAGGGGAAAGGTCGGGAGAAAGGCGCATGATTATTTATGCTAGCGGTGAACTGAAAGCGACATGGCGCAAATGGCAATTTTAAACCATAAGAGTTTATTATTGCTCATTAAAAGTGTAATAACAATGATACGGGTCAAGCTTTTTCAACCTTTTATGGTTAAAACATATTCATTTTAATGAATATTGAACTGCTTGTGTTTAACGAGCTCCCGTACATCAAGTAGCATCTGTGATTGTTCCAACTTGAGACCTACCAACACATTCCTTGACTTATCCGTTCATAATTCACCGAGAACGATTATCAATCTCGCACTGCAAATCTTCATTTTTCTCTTTAATTGGTTTGACCTCTTGACTGGTAATGAATACGAACAAATAGGAACTGATTACGAGCCGTTTTACTTCATATTACACTTTGATTTGTGAGTCTGGGCTCATGAAACCGATCTTATTATTGCATCTGATGATTATTATTGCGAATTTATCTCGCATTAGAGGACTATTGCTACGATTGTAGAGTTTTAAATCAAACAGGATTGATTTATTGAATCATTGGATTGCCTTTACAGCTTGCAAGTCTTGGAAAGTGGATGTGTTCAATAATGGATGATTATCTATTGTCTACCTTCCACTCCCGATTCCAGTCGCATTCTTCGCCGTAACCACACGATGCATACTATTGGATAGTTGATCAAAACTTTGCCAAGAAGGAAATTACGAATCACTGACCCTTTCATTGACCTTTCCGGTTTCTAGGGGGATACACTTTTGACCACCGAACAATCAGTTCATTTGATTATTATCTCTTTGAAAGTCAATGCAATCAATCCAGTCCTGGATTATTCCATGTGGAGGAAAGGGCAGTTTGTCATACAGAAGGTGACAGTCCATAGCCCCCGTGGGTCACAACATACCTTAACTTGTCCTCATTAGTAGATTGATAATTACAAATGGCTTAATAGCTTACTAATTGCAGATCAATTGTTCGGGCCCTCAATCAGACGTTGTTCATCTTGACTTTGGACAACTTTCGACCAACTTATATGTTTTTGCTTCAATGTTTATGATTGTAGTGCAATGCGTTCTCGTATGATTGTAGCGCAGTGAATTCTCGTGTTCACTACAATAACTTGTAACTTGATTTACTGCAAGGAACTTCTGCCTTTTATGCCTTGTTTATGTATACGTGCATTGATGTATATGAGTGATCGCTCTTAACATACTTTGATCCAATGAATTGCTATTTGAACCGTCACAGGTGTACATTGCATCATCAATCCGAACTGATGTTGACTAAACGATTTCTTACAACAGCATCCGAAAATAATGCAACTCTTAAAATAATCCATCCGATAAAACAACTGCTTTAGAAGAGCTACTGTTTCAGGATAGGGTGTCAAAGGGATAGCTTTGTTTCTGCTAATGAATTACATGTCAAAAGTCGACTGGGAATCAGTTCATCATCTATCATGATACCAGATTCATCTACGTTCGCTTGAAAACAAATAATTACTAGCTCTTTTTTGTATTGTTCATTTTGGACAAGGGATCACAAAACAGGGATTATCAATTACACAGATAATGGGACATAATTGAATAACAGTGTAGATCTTTGCAGGTACAAAACAGACTAGGGCTCAGATGCATTTTGTATTTAATGTAATTGGTCGTGTTGTTAGTTACCCCAGAAAACCACCAAGTCATTAAGGTGTACGAAGAACTCTCGGTTCATAATTGAAGTGAAACTCTGATGAAGATCAAAGCAATTCATTAGTTAATGTGGCTAGGAATAAATAACATCCCCTTCCTCTCCCTACTATATCCATCATCGGCACGTGTGGTGCCAAAATTTAGAATAAACCTGATATCACACAAATCGACCACAATTAGCGACGCAATGAATCTTCATATATTGCCTAAGTTAGTAAACAATCGCAATCACCACAAAAAATATCTCATTAATCCTTGTATTTCAGTCATATTTAAGAATATCCTTCAGTGATCCTCTCGGCAGATACACATCCATTGTCAACATACTGCAATGTTGCAAAATCAAAGCGGCCGAAAATCACACAAGGTATAATAAACCATTAAGAATTACAATGGACTACTTTGAAACGATTTACAGAATGTTGGCTAATATATGGATGCACATCCAGTTTATGATACAGTTGAAGATAGGATTGCTGGGACCCCACAAGGGCTGGACGCAATGACAAGCGCAATTAGTGAGATCGTGACTCAGACTACAATGTATGTTGAAAGATATATGGATAGGGACGGTACACATTTATTTTTTACTTTTATAAACTACAAATCCAGTTACTAGTTTTGCATCATTTCTTTGTGTGAAAACCTCCTTCTATTCCCACAGTAGTAGGAGGACAGAAAGTAGTGATCAAAGAGCAGAGATCAAAGAGTCTGGATCATAAACAATTTCAACATCCGGTTTAATAATATCCCAAACTGTTGTGTATTTGCACAATCAACAGTACTGCGAATTATCACGTAATATCTTAATGGAAATACAAAAAACGCGACAAATAGATTTATATAAGTAGATATGTTTTTATCCCTTCATCAGAGTGAATACTGTTACGCTGTCGCTAAATGTGAGTGTATCTCTACACATGATATCCGCATCCACATTAAAGAAACTTATAAAAAAATCAAAACTCTATTGATATTCTGTCAGTACTGACCTGAATGACATCTTCTAAAATCCTGTGACAATAATGAGGATGGCCCTCGTTAATAGGGTCACCATATCACATTCTGTAACCCTTGATCGTCAAATTGCGTTTTTGTGTAAAGGGACCCCATTAGTGTTATGTTTGTATCAGAGTTATAGAAACTATATGATCACTCATCGCTTGACAACTTCCCTCATGTATTTTTATTTCGTGTTTCCATCAATAGTGCTGATGCAACAGAACTAATGGTCCTCTGAGAATACAGTCCCCTTTCATATACGAGAGATCTATTTGAAGCATTTATATAACATTAACGTATAGGAACAACAACAAAGGAATATTGTCGTTTATCACGAGAAGGGGGGGGGGGAGTTATTCCAAGAGACACTATACTCTACCGTGGTCATCGTCCTATTGCATGGGCCATGGTACCCATATAACTTATGTATATGCTTGGAACGAGTAACATTTCTAAGTCAATATGATTAAAATGTTTTTTTTCTTTCATTTACTACACAGATAGATCAATAATAGCACAATGTAACTCAGGTGTAGTTCATTGCCGGGCCGGGTATTTTGCCGTTTGACATACTTTTGTGACATTAATGTGTATGCATCATAAACATACATATGCAGGGGCGTAGAAAGCAATTGTCAAGGAGTGGGAGAAGCGAGCCCCAAAAGTGGGGGAACGGGGTCCCCTGGACATAACCTTTACATTGTATATGGTGCATTCTAAGCATTTCAAACTATAATTTGTACTCTCGGGAGGAAGCTTCTTAAAAAAATATTTTACAATTTGACCTCTTAGTTATCTTGGTGATCATATAAGATCAAATTGAAGGTCATCTTGAAACTCGAGATTCTAAAAAATCATCTTACGATTTAACCTCTTGGTGACCTTTACATATAAATATAAGATCAAATTTGGTACCCTTTGCATTCGTTCGACTTCGCTTCTCAAAAGAGAGGTTATAACTAGACTCTGCACGCAGCGTACACATTTTTAGTCCATTAATACAGATAGTGGTATATAGTATACAATTCAGATACAGGGTGTTTCAGAAAAAATGCAACCCACATACCTAGCAATGCATATTATTTTAACCAATGGCGTTTGAATATCTATTTTGGCATAAGTTGGATCAATATTCTTTGTGTTGAGCAAGTTTCATCACTGTGGCATGTGTATGACCCATTTGCTCACCATATAAAATTCGCTACAAATGGCTACCACCTCCTATGGGACAGACTTGCAAACATCCTTATCTTCCATGTCAACTCTCTAGTTTGAGGTCTAAAATGGTTCTGGGATTGTTGACATACACACGATCTTTCAGGATAAAAGCTATATCTTCCAATTAATACACATGTGTCGTCATTAACTTAACATCACACAAAGTGTGCAAGTCTGTAAAGATGACAGAAGTTTGGGACAGGTTCTGGTCAGCTAATAGGCCATGCACAAGCTAGTGATGAAAATTAAAGAACATTAAACCAACCTTAATTATGTCAAACAAGAGTTGTCATACTCTATTTGTTAAAAAGATATGCATTGTTAGGTGGGTTGCATTTTTTGAAACACCCTGTAGATTGGTGAAATGTAATACAATTACACTGTTATTTTTTCACCGATCTTAGAAATGCTTACTTTCTACTTCCAACATTTTACCCCCATATATGCCTGTAAAAACTTCAACATAACATTCATTCTCTTAAACTAACCTTGAATGCAAACTCTCATTTCCTCAAAATATCATTAACCCTGAAGGCGTAAGACCTGCTCTAAATTATTGAAGAAATAAATATAAAAGGTTTTTGATTACACAAAACATACTTCTCCCAGTGGTTCTTGTAATCTGAGAAGGTGCTTTGATTAGAAAAAAAGAAACAATCCGGGTCCAGTTGATCCAAGGAAAATATTTTACAGAGTGGGGGGGGGGTGAGTTTGAAAGGGTGAAGGAAAAATCCCACGAGCTAATCATTAGTGTGAACAAAACTGAAATCAAGGTCAAGTCTTTTAAAAAGCCTGACAATTGTTGGCTCCCTGATTTTATTGGTTTTTATGAAAAAACCGAATGGTTACGAAAATCTGTCACGTACCAGTTAATGAGTATTTCGTTTATTGTCGTTTAAAGACACCCCGGAGATTACCCTCAAACTAACTCAAACATAAAATTAAGCAATCATAACCGACTATTTATTAGCCTTACCTCCGTAATTATTTCAAGATTTCGCCAAATAATTCCCGCTCGATAAATCGGGCAGTCCAGGTACGCTATACTTGGTGGTGGTATTCTAATTAATCACGTAACGTATCTGCGGTATTCATTTTTGGAGCGTGTATCTCAATAT